CAGAATATGAAACTGATGAAAAGGATGCTCAAGGCCTTCTGTAGAAGACTTGACAGTTAGTGAGTGTTTTTCAATGTGCTTAAGAGTTGCTTATATACAAAGTCCTTGCACTGCAATGCAACTGCTTTAGCATAGTAACAGTATGAGCTTGCAATTAAATCATTAATAACAAATGATTATTAAGATTAATTGTTGGCATTACCACACATTCATTTGGGAAGACAGACCAGCATTTCAAGCTACTGTCATCCTAAGCACTGTATTAAACTTCAGTAGTTTAAAATATGCCCTCTGGTCAAAATTTTATTAGAATTATTAGACAAGGTTGTCAAGAGTGGAAGTTACTGTCAAGTGCCAGGTTTAAGTTGCTTTGGGGCAACTGTCATTAAGCTGAGTGAACAACACAAGAATAAGGAAGCCATTTGCTTCGGGAATATCATCTCCCTGTGAACTCTCCACAGACTAATGTACAAATACAATGTGGTCAAGTTTTAATTATATTTATTGTGGTGTCTCTTAGAAAAATTATTACTTCAATCAATAAAGTAAGACAAAGAAACAAGGCTAATGTGCTGTATGCTGTTGAAACTATTATAGTTCTGCTTAGTTCACACATGTCTAAAAATATGTCTGCTCCACCTAATGAGAACAGTCTTTAGCATGTTGCTAGCAGTCCTGACACACCTTTACCAGATGTTGCATCACATATGTGCCTTTTATGTATATTATGGTGTACAGTAATTATAAGCTTCAGTATGTGAAAACTAACAAATCATGACGAATTTGATCTGTGATCACAATTGTAATTTAACTTTAGATTATTCTTTGCACTCCCTTCATTTCATCATTAACAGTAAAGATTCCCTCCCCAAACTCACTCCTTCAATAACATTTTTTTTAAATCCAGCTCTTCAGCCCTATCCTTTACTGACTTGGCACTGTTTTATTTACATGTACTTATAAATCTTGATCAGATAGGCAAATGGGCGAAGGAGTGTCAGATGAAGTTTAAATTAGATAAATGTGAGGTGCTACATTTCGGTAAGGCAAAGCAGGGCTGGACTTACACGCTTAATGGTAAGGCCCTGGGAGAATTGCCAAACAAAGAGACCTTGGGGTGCAGGTTCATAGCTCCTTGAAGATTGTGTCGCAGATAAATGGTAGTGAAGAAGGCATTTGATACGCTTGCCTTTATTAGTCAGTGCATTGAGCATAGGAGTTGGGAGGTCATTTTGCAGCTGTAGAGGAATTACTTAAGCTGCTTTTGGAATAATGCATTCAGTTCTAATCTCCCTGCTGTAGGAAAGATGTTGAAAGGGTTCAGAAAAGATTTACAAGCATGTTGCCAGGGTTGGAGGACTTGAGCTACAGGGAGAGACTGAATAGGCTAGGACTATTTTCCCTGGAGCATCGGAGGCTGAGGAGTGAACTTATAGAATTTTATAAATTCATGAGGGGCATGGATAGTTAAAATCTTCCCCCAGGATAGGGAAGTCCAAAACTCGAGGGCTTAGGTTTAAGGTGAGAGGGGAAAGATTTAAAAGGGACCTGAGGGGCAACTTTTTCATGCAGAGGGTGGTGCGTGTATGGAATGAGCTGCCAGAGGAGGTGGTGGAGGCTGGTACAGTTACAATATTTAAAAGGCATCCGGATGGTTATATGGATAGGACAGATTTAGAGGGATTTGGGCCAAATGCTGGCAAATGGGATAGATTAATTTAGGATATCTGGTTGGCATGGACGCATTGGACCGAAGGGTCTGTTTCTGTGTTGTACATCTCTATTACTATGTGAATTGATTTGGCATTTTTTTAATATTGAAAATAGTATGCAAATTTTCTTCTGTGGTTCCTGCAATTTAACAAATCATTTTGGAGGTTGGTTTGGGCAGTAAATTTTCAATTATGCATTGTGTACATAAGTATCCCTTAGTTTGCAATTTGTATTGTTAGTTTAAGAAGGTTTCTGCCAAACCAGCAATCTAGTGGGACATGGACTTCCTCTGTCAGCCAGTTCTACTGTAAAGCTCTATCATTGTTCCCAATTTGCTTAGTCGTAAATGCAAGTTGAATAAGTAATGAAACACTGGGGAGAATTACTGATCCATAGTGACAATGCTGTACCAGCAGAGCGTGGGCGCAATGAACAGAATAAATTGACGAACTCTTGTTTTAAAAAAAGCTGAGGATGTAATTGAAATACATAAAAATTCAAATTGAAGGATAATTGGAATCATACATAAAAGGACAGCTATACTATTTTAATGCATGTGTTTAATTCAAATTACTGAATAATTTATTCAAATTAGGCAAGAGATGATTTTGAATCATCAGATGTGTGCTATAAGTAAAAGGAAGTGAATCGTGAGGAAGATAGCAGCACACTGCGTATGGGCACAAGTATAGGATGCAGTTTCACACCCGTGAGACCTTATGTACCTGTGTTCCCCATCTTATCTGTATGCTTGTCAGTTTATACCATCAAGAGCTGGCTTGTCCACCATGCAGCCTGGGAGCTCAGAATCCAGCTCAACATGATTCCCAAAGTGTTGTGTGGACTCACTGTTCAAACTACCAGTAAGTGGAAGTGACAGATTTGCAAGGAGCTGCTCCTCCAATCACAGGCCATTTCTCTCCTGTGTTTACTGTTTATAGACTCAGAATACCAGCAGCAAATATGGGAGAGAACTTCTCTAGAACTGGAGGAACTGCAAACTTCTCTTTTGTTTTCATAGTTTGGTGAATTTTGGGAGATGCAGTCCTCGTCAGCCATTGCTGCGGTCTCTCTCTCCTTCGTCCCCACCTTTCACCACCATACACATTTTCTCTTTACCTTTGGCTTGGTCATGCTGTCGTCATCCTACTCTGCAGACAGTGGCTCCCTAAAGGAGGACAGGTTAATAAAGCAGAGTGAACTGTGGAGCAAGACCTGAGTTACAGAAACAGCACACATCCACCCACTTGGGCAGCTAGAGCTTCAACAGAATGAGGAAATGGTCCTGCTGCCTTCATAGTCATCCCATATTCCTCTAATGTCATATGAATTCCACTGAGGTCAGCTCATTGTGTGTGCCAACAGAAGAGCACGCGTGGTCAGTGTTAGCTAAACCCAAATCCTTAGCTCAACTCTAGTTCCACCCCCTTTCCCAGTGATAAGGACTTGGGGGCCAAGTCTGTTTCTCTTTTATTCTGCTTCTTATTGAAAAGACAAAATAATGTTTTTTTTGGATGGCATTGCTGCTTGGTACTTTGTAAGTGCTATTTTTATTATTTAAATTGTCAATTTACAGCTTTAATGCAGATTTTTGTTTTGAAATTGATGTTTATGTTGTGTCAAACCTTGTCTGACTGAAAATTGCTATCAGCCACCTTGAGTGAGGGAAAATTGAAATGTGTACTTCAGCTATTCTCTAGAAGCATCAATTTATCATATTGAGTGCATCCACCCTATCTTGTTTCATCTCCACTGAAACCCTCTTCAACCCTTTTTAATTTTTAGGCTTGAGTTGTTCCACTTCAGCCCCGACCAGCCAAAACCAAATCCCTCCTTATTTTCACCCCTCCCTATTTTTCTAATCTCTTCCAACCTTGTAGCTCTGAGATATCTGCATTCCATCAATTCTGGTTTTGCCAGCTTCTCCAATTTTAATCAGTCAATCCTTGCTGCATTCATCTGTCACAGTAATAAGATATCAAATTCCCTGCCTAAAATTCTCCACCTCTCTACCTTGCTTTCCGCTTATCTGACACTCATGGAAATATATATCTTTGACTAAGCTTTTGGTGGCCTATCACATATCTCCTTATATGCTCAGTATTAAATAAAGTCTGGTAACACTTCTTTGCAGCATCTTGGAACAGTATACTACGAATTAATTGCTATGCAAATATCCATTGTAGTTGGGTCAACTTCCTACATTCAATCAATTTTATTCAGAGCATGACCGACATTCTAGCATTGTCTGTGAATATCATTTCTAGATTTGGAATCTGGTGATGAGCTACCACCTCAGTGCTATGTCTTGACATGCCTATGTGTATGTCTGTTCGTGTTGAGTTAAAATTGTCTTGTTTTAAAAACGTCTAGTCCAAGCCCCTGCAATAATACCTAACATTCCTTTCCCTACCATTGCCTTCCTTCTTTACCCGAAATGTGTAATTAAAATATGACAAATTTACACAGACAATTTTCATGATGTATGTGATTGCAGGAATTTTTAGTGGCAACAGGATCATAAGGACAGAATACAATCTACAAAATGAAGACAGAATTGTGCTTCTGTGTTCTGATCCAGTTGTCTCCAAAGCTCTCTCAAAGAGGTAACTTGGTATTGACACTTCATGTGGTAATATTCCAGAATACCGAGTAGCCATATCAGAAAAATATAGAACATTCCTACTTTTCTGGTGAATTTATTAAGAGTTCAAGTCTGTGACGAAGACAAAAATGTATTTGTTAAGCATCTATTTTGCCTACTGATGTAAACAAGCAACTAAAACATTGAATTTGGAATTACTGACAATTACATTGAATGTACAGGACAGAAGTAAGCAATTTGGTTTAACTGCTCAGTGCTGGTTATTATGCTCCCCATGAACCTTCTCCCACTTTGTTTTCTTAATCTCCTCCTTTGACACAGCTTATTTCTTTCTTCCTCATCTAGATTTCCTTAGGTGGATTTATTTGCCTGAAATGCTCCTTGTGGGCACGAATTCCACATTCCAACTACTCTCACCAATGTGCCTACACTCTGTAACCCCATCTCTTAACACCTCTACCTGTACCATTTCTCTCAATCCTTTTAAACATTCCTTAAGACCCACCTATTTGAAAACACCTTTTTACTGTAAGAGTATCTCCTTGACCCTAACCTCAATTTTTTTTCCTTCTTTGTGAAGTATCTTAACATTGTGTTAAATGCAAGTTGTTGTTGAACTTCAAGCCACTGCTCAGATTTGTACATTCCTGTATAAATAACAGCTTGATGTGTTTTATGGCAGTCTTTAGCCAACGAGATATGCAAAGAAATTCAAGGCAGAAGAACCCAATTGAAAAGAGCAAAGGTGAAACATACAAACCATGAAGGTCTTTCAAAAGAGTCTGTCAACAGAGCCCAGTCCATGGCAGCATCTATTCTCAATATTTCACAAAGTGATCTGCAGGATATTTTGGATCTTGAGGATGAAGTGGTAAGAAATATTTTTGCACACATATTCTATTTAAAGGTGTTATAAACAAGTGAATAACAAATGGATAAAAATTGTGATTTAAGTAGGACATTTCTTCTAAGACATATGAATGTTCATAAGATTGAGAATAGTCATGTTGATAAAAAGCTCAGTACAGATTTACATCAAATTAATGAGTATATATGATTTTGAATTTAAGGACACTATTCTTTCATTTTGAGGAGTTACAGTTAACATGCTGTTTTCTATTTGCTAATCTTGTGCTATTTATTTGTAACTGCTCAGTTTCAACACGTGCATGTATATCTACAAGTGTCTCATGTGAGCTCTCAAAAAACTTGACTAACTACACGTTAGCAGATTGAATTAAGGTGTCTGCTACTAGGGCCTTCACATGATTAGTTCTGTGCATGACATTTGGTTTGTTGCTCAGTTGTCGTACGGTCCAGTTTGAAGTCCTGCTCTGGTCGCATTGTCAGAGATCTTGGTATAATTGTTAGACTAGTATTCCAGAGATCCAGGTAATGTTCTGTGGACCTACGTTCAAATCCCACTATGGGGCAGATGGTGGAATTTGAATTCAATAAAAATGTGGAATTAGGGGTCTAATGATGACTGTGAAACCATTGTCAATTGTCGGAAAAATCTCTCTGGTTCACTTAGGTCCTTTAGGAAAGAAAATCTGCTGTCCTTACCTGGTCTGGTCTACATGTGACTCCAGCCTTCTCTCACTGTATTTTCTTCATCTCATTCGATGACAAAGCCTACTCCTTTCTTCATCTTCTAGTTTTCCTTAAGTGGAATGATTTGCTCAAATACTTTTTGTGGACACAATATGGTTGACTGTAAACTGCTCTCTGGACAATTAGGCATGGACAATAAATGATGCCTAGCCAGCAAAGCCCTCATCCCTTGAATGAATAATAAAAGAAGCTTCCATAGTCTTTTCATGAAAGCCAAAATTCCATGGTCTCCCAAGGGCTGATGGAACATGAAGGTAGATGAAGACTCATCAATTACTAGCTATTGCTATGCAACAATTATTCTTTGTACAAATACAAGTGCTTTGTACACCTTTCAGCCTTTTAGTTACCTTGGAATACTGTAGATATTCCTGTGGGAAGTGAAGAGGAAGTGTTGGTGTGTAAACAACTAAAAGTACAAACAAAAAGAACCAACATTTCTATACTATCTTCATATGCTGTAATAATCATAAATCATAGAATCCCTACAGTGTGGAAACAGGCCCAGCAGCCTAACAAGTCCACACCAACCCTCAGAGCATCCCATCCAGACCCATCCCCCTATAAACCCACCTAATCTACACAGGCAACACTACAGGCAATTTAGCATGACCAATCCACCTAGCCTGCACATCTTTCGACTGTGGGAGGAAACCGGATCACCCGGAGGAAACCCACACAGACACAGGAAGAATGTGCAAACTCCACACAGACAGTCGCCTAAGGGTGTAATCGAACCCAGGTCCCTGGCGCTGTAAGGCAGCAGTGCTGACCACTGTGCCATAATACTGCAAAGCATATTCTGACAGATAGCACAATGTGGAGCTGGAGGAACAAAGGCAGCATTAGAGGAGCAGGAAAGTTGACGTTTCGGGTCTGGATCTTTCTTAAGAAATGGGGAAGGGGAAGGGAGCTGGGAAATAAATAGAGAGAGGAGGGCTAGGGCTGGGAAAGGTAGGTGAGATGGTGATAGGTGAGCCCAGGTAGGGAGTGGTGGGGATTGGTTAGTGGGATGGGTGGGGCGGATAGGAGGGAGAGAAGATGGACAGGTTGTGTCAGGTCAAGGAGGTGGGGATGAGAGGGAGGTTTGAACATGGGATGTGGCCTGGGGTGAGGAGATTTTAAGACTGGTGAATTCCATGTTTAGGCCATCAGGCTGTAGGCTCCTGAGGCAGAATATAAGGTGTTGCTCCTTCAGTTTGTGGGAGGTATCATTGTGACACTGGAGAGGCCTAGGATGGACATGTCACCCAGGGAGTGGGAGTGAGAGTTAAAATGGTTGGCGACCAGAAGGTGTTGTCGTTTGTCACGTACGGAGTGCAGATGCTCTACGAAATGGTCTCCGAGTCTACGCTTGGTCTCACTGAAGTTGAGGAGGCCGCATCAGGAGCAGCTTCCGATTGCCAACCATTTTAACGCCCCCTCCCACTCCCTGGGTGACATGTCCATCCTGGGCCTCCTCCAATGTCACAATGACACCGCCCGCAAAATGGAGGAGCAACAGCACATATCCCACCTCAGGAGCCTACAACCTGATGGCCTAAACATGGAATTCACCAGCTTTAAAATCTCTCTATATTCCCAGCCTCATCCCACGTCAACCCTCCCTTTCATCCCTGCCTCTTGACCTGACACAACCTGTCCATCTTCTCACCCACCTATCCGCCCCATTCATCCCACTGACCAATCCTCACCACTCCCTACCTGCACTCACCTAACACCGTCCCACCAACCTTCCCAAGCCCCACTCCTCTCTCTATTTATTTCCCAGCTCCCTTCCCCCTCCCCATTTCTGAGGAAGGGTCCTGACCAGAAACATCAACTTTCCTGCTCCTCTGATGCTGCCTGGCCTGTTGTGTTCCTTCAGCTCTACACTGTGTTGTCTCTGGCTCCAGCACCTGCATTCTTGCTATCTTCTAGCAGATAAAGTTTTTTGAAGTGTCCTTGTGTCCTTGCTTTAATTGTGAAGACTGTGTAGAAGGAGACAGCAATTACAATTGCATCAGGAAGAGATCAACCTCTCAAAATTTCATTTTGTGAGTTACAGCCCATGAGCCTTGGTGAGAGAGGCATGTACAGTGATAGAGTCAAAATGAGTAGTGCCGTGTGAGTATGAGGCAGCAGAAAGAAGATGATCGCATTTATCCCAGTGCAGCACAGAGGATCATTGACTTTTGTCCTCTGGGCATCCCAGCTTATCCTTGGCACTGAACCAGGCTGTTTTTTGGGTCTAGGTTGGCTTGGTCTGTTGGCCTCCCGTGGCAGAAAAATGAATGGTTCTCCTCTCCACCACTCCTTTCAATAATATCTCCAAGTCACTGCCCGCAAAGTGGCAAGCAGGCTTTCTTTTCTTCTAGGCAGTAATGGTTGAGCACTGCAGTGTGAAGGCCAACAGATTGATGTGGCGTTTTGAATGTGTGAGAATAGCGTCATTGTGATTTCAGCATTTCTACCTCAGTTTGCTTCTCATTTTCACTGGCTAACAACAATGCAGAAATGAAAAGCTAATGCATGTAAGTCTCTTCCTGCTAGTAAACAGTCTCTTCAAGATTAGCAATTCCTGAGCTGTGCCTTCTTAAAGTGACACGTGCACTCCTCAGCTCCAGGCTAAATCTGTGAAGTGGCGCTCACAGGTGGACTGTTGTCTATATATGTCATCTTTCCGCCAACTCCTGGAACCAACGTAATGTTTTGCATTCTTTTGCACCCAATTGGGAATGTTGAAGTAGGGTGGCAGCTCAGAGTTCCATTAAATTTTGCCCAGTCTTTCACCTTAGAGAAATTACTACAGTTTGGCAGCAACATGTTAATATATTACCACGTGAACACAAAGTTATGGCTGATCATCCCAACTCAGTTGGCACAGGAATGGGTGCTAAAGATTATAGCAAGTAACAGTCGTGCCTCACAAGTGCCAGGCAATGACTTTCTCCAAAAAGAAAGAATTTGCTCACTTCTCTCAACATAATTGTATTACCATCACTGAATTGCCCCTCCACCATCAACATCAAGGTCACTGACAGAAACTGAACCGGACCAAGAATATAGCTACTGTGACTACAAAAGCAGATGAAAGAGGGTAATTCACCTTATGAATATCTAGTGCCTGTCTATCATCTACAAGACATGTTAGTGTGATTGAATATGCCCCCCTTCATCTGAATTTGTACAGCTCCAACAGCAGTCAAGAAGCTTGACGTGATCAAGCAGTCCACTTCACTGGCATACCATCCATCAGCTTCCTCCACCACTGTGTTGTGACAACAATGTGTGTCATCTATAAGATGCACAGCAGCAACTCAGCACAACTCCTTCAACAGCATACAGCAAACCTAAGAGTTTTGCCACGTAGAAGAACAAGGCAGCAGATACATGGGAACACTCCATGTGCCCCTCCAAGCCACCCACCATCCTTATTTCAAATTGTTTCACTATTCCTTCACTCTCACTGAGGCAAAATCCTGGAACTGTCTTCCTAACAATACTGTGGGTGTACTCAGTTCACCATGGGCAACAGCAGCTCAAGGAGGCAGCTCACCACAACTTTCTCAGATCAGTTAGGGATGGATAATGAATGCTAACCTAGCCAGCAACCCCCAAATCACCTGGGCAATATTTGCTAGGCAGCAAAGGAAACCTGAACATTTTCCATCTTCACTGTCTCATGACATTTCCTTCACAACTCTTGGTCACCAACTCAAAGGACCTGGAATGATCTAATTCCATCAGCATACAGTCAACATCCTCTGCACTAGTTTGTCCACACATATCAGGTGGTTGGTGGTTATATACTCAAAAACCTTCTGGGCAGAAAACTGGCTACCTGGTCACAACCTTCTATATCCACATCTGTGCTATAAGGATACCTGCAAGTGAGATAGAAAGATGGCTGATAGTGAAACTGACAACTGAGACACCTGTGACTTCTGGAGGATGACCATTCGGAAAAGCGTTGCAAGAGGCAAACAGAACCAGAAACTATATTTGTCAAGAAAAGGACACATAAGTCAGAGGTCAGCAAGTTGTGCAACTTGATAGCCCATTGTCCACTTTTGCAGCAAATGCGGTGGAAACTGCATATTAGATTGTGACTCCTGAAGTACTCCATGTGATGCTTAACACAGAGTTGACCACCATGGCGCAAATCATTAACTTATGAGAAAGATGATTGACAACATTATTGCAATTCTTACTGCCTTTTACACTGTGCAATACTGTGGTTCAAAGATGTGTTGGATGACTGTTTTGTATTTAGACAACTGCATCCACTTTCCACTGTTGTACATTCACCCACACACTGTGGCTGTAAATCTTCTGTGCCTCTGCTTGGAATCTTCTGTGTCTTTGTTTGGTTTTCTGTTGGCTCTTCATCAAAAACCAAGTATCCCTAATCCTTCATCACTAAGGCTGTCGGGAGCGGGCCCCTTCCTGGAGTATCGGCAGCGGTAGGTTCCTTTGCTGAAATGGCAGTCCCAGGAGGCACATGACAATAGACATCTAAATCTAAAAATAAATCTAAATCTATCTCTCACCTTGTTCCTTGTCTTAACCTTATGAGGATTTTCTTCATGAGAGTGTTTATCTGGTTGTCTGATTGAAATGCTGATTATGCTTGTGCTGTGGTAAGTAGTGTTTTTTATGTGTACCTTGTAGAGCACTGGGTTCCCTCTGCTGTATGAAGAGCAGATGGATCATTATGAATGCATAAGCAGTCTTGACCATCTGTACCACAGTGAGATCTAAGACCAGAAAAGGAGAAAACTCTTTTTTTAATGAGTCTCCTGTAAACATTGCAATAAACCTTTCTAAAATTCTGAAATAACCCCAATAATGTGCTAAGTAATAATCTTGATCTTGCAGCAGTAGTTTTAATGTGAGCAGATTTTCATTTCCTGTTGTTACTTTTTTATTGTAAGATAACTTCAGGTTCTGAGGTGAATAATTCATCTTCCATCAGTTTCTACATAAAATTCTTGACAAAATTATGTCAAAACTGAGATATTACACCTACTGCATTAGGGAAGATTGAGCACACTGGGGCTTTTTACTTTAGCAAAGGGAAGATTTAGAGGTGGCCTGATAGATGTCTTTAAAATTAGGAAAGGTTTCAACACGGTAGGTATGGAAATCAGCGGCTGAACGTTAACTTCCAAAAGTAAGAAGCTTGTCGTCATGTTAGATGTTCAAATGCAAAAAATCTGAATCAGGAATCCAAACCACCATCTTCCAGTATAATGGAGATGGAGCAGGGAAGAGGCACCAATCTGCTCAAGAAACAAATTGATTTTTAAAATACTATTATGAATATGCATGCCTCCATTCTAACAATTGCTAAATTCTTACTTGCACTAGACAACTTTCCCAGGCTACGGGAAACCTAGAAACAGAAAAGAGATGATAAGGACAGTACAAAGTGCTTTTCCAGCTCTGCTTTTGTTCAAGTGGTGCAGGAGCATTTCTTGCTGTTTCAACATGCTTTGTAATAAACACCACCCCCTTCAACTTTTTCCTCCACTTCTGAACACTTCAAGCTCCTCACTTCATGTTCAATACCTCTCTCCCTATTTATAACATACTAATACCATCCACCCCCTTTCCTCGCAGCAAATTTAACTGATCTCCTGCATGATGCTACAGTGCAGAATAAATACAAGATAGTCACGATTAAGTACTGTAGAAAGTTGAGGAGAAAGTTTTTTTATAGAGTGTTCAGAATGTGGAAATCACTCCCACAGGAAGTGATTGGGCAAATAACTTAAATGCTTTTAAATGGGAAGTAGATCAATATATGGAAGAAAAGGCTGAAAGACTGAGATGAGTTAGATGAAATGCCGTACAACCTATGATGTACAGAATTACAGGGTCGAATAACCTTTTTCTTTAATGTTGTTATGTAATGCTATGTAATAACAATTGAACAAATAAGACTAATTTTAATAAACTACATGGATCATCTTAAAATTATGCCACCTTTTATTTACTTATAGAATGCAGAAGAAAATAAAGATGCTTTGCGGAAAGATCAGAATTGGCTAGCTGAAATACAGAGGATTCTGGAAGGCCAGGTATCGAAGCATCTTGTGTGTTAGTAGTTCTTTCAAGCTTACTTTGGTCTAAAAATAGAAGGAAACATGTAAACCTCACATTGTATGAAAAACGCCAAACGCATTAAATAGTATTTGTAGAAATTTAAACGGTACATAATATACAATTATTGAAGCAAAAAGTAGTTTAAAAATTACTCACACTTTTACTTTACTCAGCAAGTTACTTCAGAGCTGTTTTGGAATTCAGTTTACAAATTTACTAATCTGCAATGATTTTTATTGTGACGATGTGCCATAGCTTCATAACACATTCATTTAATCTTATTATTTTAATACGTGAATCATTTCACTGACGTAACCAATTTGGAAATGAAGAAAATCTGAACTATTTATTTAACTCAAACACTTTATCAAGTTAAATGTTAACTTCATTGTCATGCCTTACTGTGCGAATCCAAATCTGCATGGAAATAAAGATGTGATAGTGCAGATATACAATGGCAGGGTGAGTCAAACAAAACAAGGCTGGTACTTCCAAAGTTCTATTGCATCAAACAAGCTAGTCCAAACAGAAAGCTGTAGAAGCAGGTCTATTCCCAGTAGTAACAGAAATAGAACCGAATGCAGAGGCAAAGGTATTACAGAGCAGCATAACTCACTACAGGCCAGCCAAGTGGTTTTACATTCATCGATCTGTGCCTGTCTTTCCTTGCCATTGGGAAAAGTAAGGCAACCAGAAGTGCAAGTTGTGAATTTTGTTGGGAAACCTTGTATTGTGCTGTTGGTTTTATACCATTCCACATCACATGAAATCCTGAAGCACTGTTGCAGAATTGCCTCAGGATAGCAATGTTACTGTACTACTGCAGAAGTCAGTTGTATGTTTTCTTTGGGTGTTGGGAAAATGCACATATAGCACTGGATAGACTCAATTATGTGTGGAATATTATAGCAGCTGTAGGACTATTTAAAACAGAACACCCCTTTGCTTCTTACATGTCACTGTCTCGACCCTCTCTTGCTGAGCCTAAGTAGAAGAGTGGGGAGGAGTGATTAACAGCTTATGATCAGACTGTGAATGTAAATATGTTTGAGAGATCAAACAAACAATGGTATTTTAGTAGGGCTTCAGCGATCAAGGATTTGCAAATATTTTCAATGAATTCTTTATGTCCCGTGGAATGTTCATGGGACATAACAACCTTAAACAACCTGCCTATTTTTACAGTGTAATTTCAAGGGGAAGTTCATAAGATTTGAAGAAAAATATTATCAATGAAGCACTGATGAACATACTGAAGACATTGAAGTATTGTAAAATTGTTATGACACAGAAGGAGGTCATTTAGCCGTCGTGTCTGCGCTGGCTGTCCAAATGAGCACCATGACTTAATATCATTCTCCTACCTTTTCCCCATACCCTTGCACAATGTGTTTCTGTTTAAATAATCATCCAATGCCCTCTTGAATACCTCAATTTCACCTGCCTCCACCACATTCCCAGGCAGTGTGTTGCAGACTCAAGTCACCCATTGTGTGACGAATGTTTTTCTCATCTTCCATTTGCTTTACTTGTAAAACACTTTATTTGCCTTCTCATTGATCTTTTTATGAGTGGGAGCGGCTTCTTCCAATCAACTCTATCCAGCCTGTTCATGATTTTGAAACTGTAATCAGATCACTTTTTAGCCTTCTTCTCTTCAAGAAGAACAATTTCAACCTCTCCAATCTGTACTCATAACTGAGGCTTCTCATCCCTTGAACCATTCTTGTAAGCCTCTTCTGCACCCTCTCCGATGTGTTCACCTCTTTCCTGTAGAAATTATACAAATCTTTGTTTCCAGTGATTTCATAAAGTTAGCCAATAGGACATGTGCAATTTTAATAGCTATTTTGTTCATTATTTATAGGCACAGGCAGGGCACCGGTTAGGTCAGGTGGCTGGGTGGCTGATAGAGGGTGCAGAGTGACATCGACAGCAAGATTCCCACACTGGCCAAGATCCAGGAGAGAGGAGGCAGCTTGAAATTAAAAGTTTCCATTGTTCACCTCCCAGAATGCAGGTGGAAGTTCATGCTGAATTAAAATGACCAAATTTAAATGAGCCTGGAAAACCTCCTAATTTGCAGTTGAGGGAGAATCTCCAAGAGAAACCCTCACCATGAATGACAGTTTTAGTTTAGACATTTCTAGGCTGAGAGAAAAGAACAGAAGTAAATCCCGAGAAGCTGAGAATCACTCCGGCCTTGGATGTGGATTTCAAGTAACTACATAAGAGACAGTGTGTTGTATACCTTTGGAATAACATTTTTCGTTGTGCTCAAGGTAAAAGGGGAAATTGTAACAAACCCACCTCTCCCCAACTCCTCCCATTCTTAGCTTTGGCTTGAGATTTCTATTACACAAATCCCTGTTTATCAAGATATTACAGGAAAATACAGGTTAGATAAATGTAAGCTATTTTGGGGATTCTCAAACTAGGGGGCATGGTCTAAAAATCATGGCCAGACCACTTAGGAGAGATGTTCGGAAGGGAAGTTGATGTTTGGAGCCCTTTTCCACAATTGGCAGTGGATGCTAGGTCAGTTGTTAGTTTTAAATCTGAGACAGATCACTTTTTGTTAAGCAAAGATATAAAGGGATATAGGCCAAAGGCAGATATATGGAGTCAGGCAACAGAACAGTCATGACCTTACTAAATGATGGAACAGGCTGAAAGGGATGAATGGCATACCCCTGTTCTTATGTCCTACAATTTGCCCTAATCTTCCTCCAAGACCATGGTCCACCTTTACAGCTCTAAGTATTTGGCCACTCACTCTGCTGCTCTGAATCTGCATTAGCCTTCATTCTCTGCTGATACTCATAGTCCTGTAGACTACCTTGAAAATCCACTATGCCACCACTCAGATTCTTTAGAGTGTTTCTTTAAAAACCTACCCTTATAAATGCACTACTGGTTTCCCATAACATCACCCATTCCAAGCGTAGCCTCTTTCAATTCTGTTGTGAACTTCTCAGAGATATCAAAGTGTAAATGCAAGTTACAGTGGTTGTTATAGAATAACACTGCAGTTAGCTGACGTGTGTAAGGATCATTCTTGCCAATGGCGCATTCTTGAGTATAAATTTTAAAAAGGAAAGAATAAGAGATGGCTGTTTTCAGCATAATAATTTTATAGATAAAATGACTATCTCTCCAGTAATAACATAAATATGTGTCAATATAAAATATGTGTAAGAACAAGGTAGCTCTGGTAACACAGTATTATCAGTTGTTTATATTCAGCAATAAATTAGAATACCTGAAGAGTGGTTCATAGCTTTGTGACCTTTTCTGAGGGATTCACTTGCAGTCAATTCATGTTTTCCTCACAGCTGGACAGCTGTTTATTACCATGTCTTCCTGTATTCTGCACAATATTTTCTACAGAGACTGTGCACAGCTTGTTAGTGGGAACTGAATATTGATTCAGAATCCTGTCGATGCAGAAAGAATGAAAAAATGTCCACTAGAGACCTCTCAAACATATTCCTATTGATATTTCCGTGCTGAGTGGAAAGCTGCGCACTTGATGACAAGGCTGAGACTGTCTTGAATCATAGGCAAATCCACAGAGATTCCTGGTGTGACCTCTGTGTTTCTTTTCTCTTATCAGTTTCCAGGTTTTTTTTTTCTTTATTAACATACTGTCTTCGAGAATACTATGTCTGTCACAAGTGATTAAGGACAATCAATTGACATTTGGTTATTCCAATTTGTCTGTGGTATTAGTCTCTTGATGTGAGTAAGATCTGAAGTTGAATTGAGCTAAAACTGTGCATGATTTATTTTGTCAAATGTTGGCATTCTTGGGTTTAGGAGGGACATTATCGAAGAGGTGAAGCCTTGTTTATTACTTTCACCACACTGCTGCCTTAATGTTTTATAATTTGAGATTATCTTTGCAAGTACCAGAAAGTCATTGATGTTGCATGTGTGGATAGCATTGGAACATGTGTGCATACACTCCACGTTTTTGCAAAACCTATTCAGGTTTTACAACCTAATAGGGCAGCATGGTGGTTCAGTGGTTAGTATTGCTGCATCACAGCACCAGGGACCTGGGTTCAGTCCCATCCTCGGCGACTGTCTGTGTGGGTTTCCTCCCATAATCCAAAGATATGCAGGTTAGGTGGATTTGCCATGCTAAATTGCCCATAGTGTCCAGGGATGTGTAGGTTAGGTGGATTTGCCATGAGAAATATAGGGATAGGGTTGGGGATCGTGTCTGAGTGGGATGCTCTTCAGAGAGTCAGTATGGGCTTGTTGGCCTGAATGGCCTGTTTCCACACTGTAGGGATTCTATGAATTCTATAAAGATTGTATAAATATGAACTCCAGTAAAGGACACAGTACATATTATGTTTGTGTCAGTGTCTTTATATTTTATTCTAATACAGTGTTCATTTCTGGCTGTATTATTGGGTTTAACTGTAACTTCGATTTATGGGCAGTAATTTTCCTCTTTTGCTGTGATAATTCATCCGATTACAGTTCAATCACAATGTTAAAAGCTGACAGGTGAGTACAAGTGGGTTTCTCAGCCTATCACAGGTCTTAACACTGGTATCCTGAGTCACCAAAAACTGCTGGCCAATCAAAAATCTGTGGCGTCTGCTTCCTATTCACTGCCAGCCACGGCCTATTGCTCAGGTGATCCAGCTATGAGAAAAAGGAAAGGGTTCTGGGCTATCAGAGGAAAGGGCAGGGGATGGCTTTCAAAGGCCATTCCTTGTTCCCATTCATGCTTCCAGTTCCCTCCAGATTAAGGCAGTTAGAGGCCCGTTCCAACGGAGTAGGCAGGTCCTGCCTGGTTTCCTAGTCAGGAAGCTAGCCACCTTTCTCGCCAGCTAGGATGCAAGTAATTGGGATCTTTGTGATTTGAAACTCTTAGGTGATTGTTAATTGACCACTTTGGCTTTGACTGGTGGTTTGTCACGCAAGTTTCCAATGAACCTTTTCACCAGAACTTAAT